CCGTATTTCTACACCATCGCCTAGAGACCAGTCAACCTATTCTATTAAAAATTCCCAAAAAAAATAATTTAATATTTAATTTAAGTATATACATCTATTTTCAATTAGTAGCCAAATTAGCAGGATACTCTCCTTAGTTTCTCGCACATGTGTCAGCTTGCCTAAGCGGTGGTTCCGTTCGATAACACCTTCAATATTTTGTTTGGCCTTATCCAACGTAACAATCGGTTGTTGAGCCTCAGATCTTAATGACCGGTTTAGCGTAGAATGGAACAGACCTCTGCCTTGATTTCTTCAACCGGTGTCGAATCAGATAAAACTATGTCGCCACCTCAACAGTAAGCAATGACGATTGCCGATAAATTACAAGCAGTCGATTCAACAATCGAACAATTCTTGCCCATGTAGTTTATTCATTCATCGTGTAACAACAACAAAACTACACAATTAATTAAATTTTAGTTAGCTTAGCCTGTAAAGAACGTAATAGTCAAAACTGAGTAACGTTTAGTTAAGAGTGTTATGTCTGAAACAAGTGAGCTCAGTCAGAAGTGCATTATGAACAGCGCGCGTGCTGTATTTATTAAGAGGAAATACTCTAAATGTACATGGCCTACATGGGAAAGTCACTAAATGTACTTACAGATTTACGGGTACGTTTTCTAATTGCCCAATTAAAATCGCTAACTGTGATTTTTAGTTCCTATCTCAAACTTTTCAAACAAAATTTAGTTGTAGTTTTTTTGATGACGCAAAAAAAAAAAAGGATTTTTCTATTTTTATCAGGTTCAAAATGCCGGCGAGTGTGCCAACTGACAACCGACTCGCACATCCATGGCCCTCTGGATTTGGGACTCTGCTAAATTTACGATTTCCGCTACGACACGCGCCGTGACTCTTTTTTTGTTATATAAATAGAGTTTTATTTGGGCCTCACTTCAATTTCTTATCTCAATATTTATTATTTACAATATCAGTCAACAGTATTGAATTTAGGTTAATAATCACGTACTTCTCCATCCACTACGCTATATTATCGTACTCTTCTTGCGGTGCTACTACCCCACCCTCTGCAGTAAGATAGCGAATATCATTATTAGAGCGTATCTCAGCTAGTAGTAAATCTCTTCGGTCTCCAACCAAGTCGCGTTTGTTGTACTCTACCGCTCTATTGTCCAAGAGATAATTGATATGCGGTCCTGATGCATCCAAAACAAACGCCCATGATGTACCAAGATCGCGTGCTATAACTAACTTGTTACGTAAACGAGCCACTGCTATTCCGGAAGATGTGCAACCATATCGTTCTCCTAGCTCCCTCTTCAATTCATCACCCTTCATGAGCGACACATCAACCCAATTTCTATTGTAGTCGGTAAGTTCGCCATTTGCCGATCGTTGTAAATTCTCTGCCCTATGTCGTCTAGCGCAATTGGTCTTAGCCTTCTTTATAGACTTTTGTGATAAATACAATCTGTTCATACATTTGACCATATTATTTGCGCCGATATTGATGAGCGTCGATAATATTGGCGAGTATACATCTTGCTCACGCCCGCGTCCACATTTACATTGGGCTAACAAAAAGGCAAGCACTTGGGCTGCCGGCGTGCGCGCTTGTCCACCAGTGCTCGCAGAGTTTGAACACTTACCTTCGTACTCTTTATGTCCTGGAAGAGCATTGCATTTACCTCTTTATCACTAGTAAGTGTATTTACAATTTCTGAACATATATCAAACATTGCATGTACAGCTTTGCTCGGATACGTCAATTCATCATGCTCCATATATTCCATTAACACTCGTGGATATTCCATCGTTTCTACACTGCCGATATCACCTACAGCAAGATTTCTATTCACTCGTACACTTGCGAAACACAACTCACACCATTGATGCAGTCTTGTTGCTTTCTTCAACACAAATATAACTTTATTAGCACAGAAGCCGGCTATATAAGATTAAGCCGGTCTCTTAAACATTTGCAGCATACTGACGGATTGTTCGTGATATGGCGACAGCATAGTATCGTAAACTGTGTCAGCAATGTAATCATCCGGTTCAGTATCAAAAATTGCTCGCACTCGCTTACGATTGCAAGAACTACTCTCACTATCTGACGCTGCGATATACGCTTTACACACCGTCCTTTTTCGTTCGTGCTCACACATCTCCGTAACATCAGTCACCCGTTTCTTTTCTTTTCGCTTGTACAATTCATGTGAGCTTTTTGAGTCTATGAACATTGTAATTTTTAAGCTGAGGGAGGGGGGGCTATGTAAAAATAGCGGGTTCCTAAGTAGTTGCACAGTTAACGTATTTTATAAACATATTAACGCATTAACGTTTATACTTATAATACTGGAATACGTTTAACGAATTGGACATGAACAAGAATTGAGGTATTCAAGATTCTGAACATGTGATAGTACTCAGTAGAGTATGGGACTCTACTGGGGACAATTAGGTGGTTTTCTAAATATAGATTGGTTTTTCCACTGAAATTAGAATTGTACATAATATAGGAATGATACAAATCTGACACCTGAAAATGACACTTTGGGAATCTCTAATTAACGGGAGTACCATGAGAGAGGGTCTCAGGCATGAAATGGTTGTTGGTACAAACCTATGGTATAATTCGATAACAAGCTCAGAGCAAGATAATCCACTGAGAAAAGGACAGAATCAGAGTTGTTAGAAATTAGGACAACAAGGTTTTGATTCCTCCTAGTCAGCCAACTAGATGTGCCCGTCTATGCCTTAAATGGGATGGAGAGCTAGGTACCAAGTGAAGGGGTTTAGGTGCAGATGTATACTACTCGGACTTGGTGTTTTGATTTTATTTTTATTTTTTTAAGTTGGACTTAGAGATAATTTATTGGTTAGTTGGAGTAGATAATTGTTTCAAGGCGATTATGCGTCCAATGAAATGATATCTAGTCTTTGTAACTAAAACATAAATAAATCTAGACCGAAGTAGCGAATGATTAGAGCGGAGCATATAGACAATAGTCTCAGTCTAAAATCCCCTAATCTTTTGCTCACTACCAAGAGCTAAAACTAAACTTATTTAACATTTTGCATTTAAACGTTATAACGTATTGTCTTATAAACGTAAACGTATTGGTATCGTATAGTCAGCCTAGAGGAGACCTATGGATTGATTTTAATTATTTATGGACTCAATCTGTACTACATAGGTTTTGCTAAAACGCAGTATGTAAAGAAAAAGGGTGACGTGCGAGTAAGGTACTTGCTAGATAAAGTAAAATACTCGCACAGTTACCAATTATTGAATGTAAATTTCACTGAAGGAAAATTTCCTCCAAGCAGCATGCTGTAGTTTAAACAATAAGCAGGACAAGACACATGGTAAGTAAATGTTTCAACAAAATATAGAAGCGAGCATGCACCAATGCATGCATTTATTTCTTCTTCGCCTTGAACTGCACTGATATAACAGCATTAGTATTTCTGATACGATTAATGATAAAGAATCGGCCAGGTCGGAAAGTAAACGTACCAGCATGTAATTGTTCTTTGCATTTGCACGCATGCGTATTATCAACTTACCTTGACGTTACCAGTTACGGCCCCATTGATGCTCTCTTTTCATTCTCGCTCTTCCAAGTTTGCTGTATGTAACTAGATTAATTTCATAAATTTAGTATTGTTCGATAACAAACATCAGAAAGGTTACTGACACAAATATAGCTTATTTCACAGCATACCTCGGGTATCAGTTACGTATGCAATATGCGATGCTCGAAAAAGAATAGTATTTGAATAATTTGTGACCGTTATATTTTATATCAAACTCCTGAACATTCGTCTATATACACGTTAATTTATTTATTTATTTATTACCTATATCTTCACCGCTCTTTCTAACGGATCAATAAAAACATAATACCCTTCATTTATAGTAAGGTGTACGAAAGAGGGGCGCTTAACTTGGAGGGGGGCGAGAGAGGGGCGCTTAACTTGGAGGGAGGCGAGAGAGGGGCGCTTAACTTATAGGGAGGCGAGAGCGGGGCGCTTAACTTGGAGGGAGGTGAGAGCGGGGCGCTTAATTGGCGGGAGGCGAGAGCGGGACGCTTAACAGCCGTAGTCTTAACGGGACGCGTAACAGCTGTAGTCTTAACGGGACGCTTAAGAGTCGTAGTTTTAACGGGACGCGTAACAGCCGTAGTCTTAAGAGTTAGTCATACCAGCCGTAGTCTTGAGAGTCCCCTTGTCTTTTCCTTCTCTTCTCCCTTCTTCTTCGCTTCTTGTGTGTGTGTTGTGTGGCTTGTCACTTCTTGTTTGTCATGAATCATGATATATGTTATGTACACTATAGTGTGCACTGTGCACTGTGCAGACTGCAGCGCTAAGCTCATTACGTTTTGCCTATACGCAATAAACTTTAAACGTAAACGCAATAAGCTTTTATAAAGCGTTGTTTTTTTTAAAGTATATCGGGGGCAAATCGACAATGAAAATTTTCCAAATTTGCACCTGAGAAATTGACCTTTTTTAATTGAAAGGCGATTTGAAACTATTCACAACGGACAGAAAGTGAAAAATAGGACAATTCGTGACAGATAGGCCGCCTCAAAAATTACACCTATTTGTAAACCCATACATAGGGATAATATTATTTATTTCAAAGGAGTTAAGTTTCAATGTTTGTACAAACAATAAGTCTTTAGTCGTGAGTCGTGAGTCGTGACTATGAATTCAAATTTCTTACAAACTCGAGTTTATGTAGCCTCCTAAAATAATTTAATACAGGAGGCTACGGGTCTACTACCACAAGATGGCAGAGGTCGTCAGGGTATTTGACTACGAACTTGTGCCTTGTGGTCTCTACTTGTTGTTGTGGATAGCCTCCTAAAATAATTGCAGGAGGCTATGACTACCAGAGGACAGCGTCAGGGGGCGGCAGAGGCAGAATCCAACTCCACCACTGCCCCCAGGCCAGCAGAGAGAGCGCCAGCCTTAACCTCGAACCGTTTTCCGTTCAAACTTCTATAAATCGAATATATATACGTTTACGTTCAACTTCTATTCCATATTTAAAAGTATGTACCGTTTCCCCCGTACAAACCAGCTCTATAACTTAGGTAGGCCTTTCTGATCACATTATATCCGATATAACGTTTTAAAATGAATAAATATGCGTGTACGTTCAACTTCTATTCCGTACATACCCGCATACGTCTACACATTAATATAAAAACCGAAAGAAATGGTTCAGCGTTCTGAGACTGTGCGACTGTGCGTGCAATGATGCATACATATCACTCAATTGATGTTGATTGTTGAACATAGTGTAGAACTGCGACTGTATGTAGGATGTAGACTGTAGGCTGTATCATGTGTATGTAGGATGTACACTGTAGACTCTAGAGTGACGTGAGTGTAGACTGCTGTAGAGTGTATACTGTTATTTTAAAAATAAATAAAAGAGTATATGTTTAAAATAATAATAAAAGACTGTTAGTGTGTATGTATTTAGTTTGTAGTGTGTACGGTGTGCTGTGTAGAGTGTAGACTGTAAATAGTAGATTAATCATACACGCTCGAACACACACAACCACTTCTTCCCATCAATCTTTCCTGAACCACTACAGCGACTATGAGAGCCATACCATATGTTCATACATTGTATCATACATACTTGCCATTTTTGAAATAAATAATATTATCCCTAATAAGTAATAACTAATAAGTAGAGTATATGTACTGTACTAAATACATACTGAACTAAATACATACTGTGCCCAACAAGGCCCCGAGCGGTATTATTTTACATAAAACCATAGCGGCATAGCCTTCAGAAAATTGACATACACACAGTAGAGAGAGAGATCAGAGAAGAGAAAGGCTATATATAAAATGTATATGCCGAGGTCGTACAAATTACAAATTTACAATGTATTATATTTAAAAATAAATAATAACTGTTCCCAATGTGTCATATTTTAAATAATAACTGTTCCCTTGAGGCTTGACGGCTGAATCCCCGAATATAAATAAATACCTTTGACTCCGGAGTCTGAGGTAGTGATATGTAAGTGGATACGAACTTCTGAATACCACTATATTTTTAGATTTAGAATACACATTTTGTATTTGCGTATCCTTCTGAAAATTGTCTATTTTGCATCATAGGGGATAGAAGGCTCGTATTAGTCATTTTATTTCAATGGGGTATTTATCATTACTGAATACTGTATAGAAATTAGAGAATGAACTTTTTTATTTTTAAACAATATCAGCCCGATGGCCCCAATCAGAAATCAAAAAAATGAACTTTTTATATATGTAATAATTGTGTTTTTTTGAGAAGGCCATGATTTTTTGTTCAATTTTGATTTTACTCTCTCTACTCTCTCTCTCTCTATGCAGAGAGAGTAGTAGAGAGTAGAGTAGAGAGAGACTGAGAGACTGAGAGAGAGAAAGAGCGAGAGAGAGACTGAGAGACTCTTCTCTTTCTCTTCTTC